CCGGCCCGCCCCCCGCGCCGCCCGGGCGGTGCCCGGCCCGGCCCGCCCCCCGCGCCGCCCGGGCGGTGCCCGGCCCGGCCCGCCCCCCGCGCCGCGGCAGGAAGCCGGAAGCGGCCGGGGCGCTGGGCAGGCCGGCGGCAGGCGGCTGGTGCGTGGGGCTGGGCAGGGCGGGCTCGGGGGTGGCCGCGGAGGGCCGGGCAGAGGCGGGCAGCGCCGGCCGCCTGCCCTCGCCGCCACCGCGCCGGTGCCGAGGGGACGCGGCGGCCGCCGGGCGCGATGGTCCCAGTTTCCCGGGCGGCGGCGGGGCCTTGGCGGGAGCTGCCGGGCCGCAGGCGGCGGCGGCGCGCCCCGAGGAGGCGGCGGGCCCGGCCGTGCCGTCCGGGAGGGACCAGGCGCGGCCGGCCCGGGCCGCTGCGGCGTGCCCGGGGCACGGCCCTTGCCCCCGTCTCGCTGACTTCTGTCCCCGTGAATGTGCCTCAGGAGCCGGCGACGCCTTTGTGGCTGTAGGAGTCGCTAAAGTTTTACGTCGGGAATCTCGTCCTGCTGTGGGGATGAGCCCCGGTGCTGTGCCTGCCCGCAACCCGGCGAGACAGGGACGTGGCCCTCGGTTGGTTTCCAGGAGCTGCAGTCCCAGACAGGCCGAGTCCTCTGCCTGCAGTACGGACTGCACATGCCTAGAGCAGGGGTGATGAGCAGCGCTGGAGCCAGGCTTGCCTTTTTTTTTTGTGTGCCTTTGGAAGAATGTTCGGGTTCAAGCAGCACCGTGTGTGGCCAAGGGCAGGGTGTTTCCGTGATTGAGATGCCAGCTGCTGGACTGGAAACTCCCTAAGGAGGTTCCTACAGGGGTAGGAAGCAGGAGCTTTAGTGGAAGAAACTTACTTTCTAAGCCTTGAGAGAGAGCATACAGGGGAGTATAAAGCATTAATAGTTAACAGACTTTGAATAATATTTATTTGGAACCTCAGCACATTGCCTGTTGCTTTGGTGGCATGGAGGCTCTTGCCTGTAAACAGAAAGAGCCATCACTTAAACTTCATCATCTGTCCCTGCTTGCCTGGCAAAATTGTGTATTGCAGCTGTCAACAGGGGAGCTATACCTGCTTTGTGTGCTTATCCCGTGTGCCTGAGGTAGCAGAAAATTTTTTAATATTCATTAGAAGCAGTCAGTGCTCCTGCTTCAAAGCATTGGGAGTTTTAAAAAAACTGCATTAGCAATACAGTCTTTTTTTATTATGATCCCCTCTGCTAATAAATTAAAAGAGTAGTAGCATGACCAGAAGCAGAAAAATCTTCAATAAAAAACACCTAAAAAGTAGCCCCCAAGCCCCTATACTAATGAGTCATGGGGGGACAATAAATCTAACTGCTAGGTGGAGAGATTTCTTTAGATGTACAGGAGAAGCTTTTGACTTCTCTAATACCAGACTTAGTGACCATAAGTGAGATGTGAAAAAATAGAAAGTTCAGCATTAAGCCTAGTGACAGATCAGTCATACAGTTAGAGCTTTCTTTTTTTTTTTAATTATTTTTTATTTTAATAGGAAACCCTTAGTAACTTGATTTAAGAATATAGTGGAAGAAATGAAAACTTGAGATTCTGAGTAGCAAAGATCAGTTATGACTTTGTTAGAGAACACAGAGTATTAAGGAGGCCTAACTTATTTGATCTAATTATTATAATTTGAAAGTTAAAGCTGAATGAAACATTATACCTTAAAAGTGAAGACTGCCAAAAAGAGTGTACCCTTTTAACAAAAAAGGGCTAATAGTGCACTACTGACTCTGTTTTGCTACATAATATGTTCCCTGGGATTAATATTGCTATGTTTATAATTTTAAGAGTGAAAAAACACCACACCTTGAGAATCCATTAAATGACTTTCTGGTCTGGGGTTATTCTTAATATATGCTGAATGATACTGAAGATCATCTGTTGCAATCATGTTCTTTGTTTTTTCATCCATTGACCTTTGTGCATATTTAATTATAGAGTAAGAAGGTAAAGAAAAAGAGCTGATCTTGTACATAAGCTACCTCATCTTTATTAATTTTGGGAAGTGTAATAATAATTCGGTCTCTTGATGGGCTGCTAATTTTGGGTTTTATTTGAATAGATTTGATGATGAATTTCTGTGCACTTTCTGTCTGATTAGAAAGGATTCTTTATGTTTCTGCGCTTTGCTATGAGTCTATGAATGTTGTTTTGAAGTAAATCACCAAATAAATGCTTACTGGTAATGTGCCAGCTGGCCTGTTTGAAGCAGGGGTTTAATTATGAGAGGAATGTTTTAACTTGAAGATTTTACAGATGGTTTACAGAGCAGGCTGTGCATTATTTCTTTGAAACCTCTCTTCCATACCTTCTGTGTTTGCATTGTAGATAGCTCATTGGCATCTACAGTAGTTGCCCAATGGGAGAAGTCATTCTACAATTGCAGATTGTCTTGTCAGAGTTAACCAAGAATTGTCAGGGTTGGGAATGGGGTGTTAGAGGGGTTTTTTGTTGTCTAGATTTGACATAAAACCTTTGTCCCTTACAGAGGCGTTAAGAACTTTATCTAGATTTTGCTGCATGACTCTAACTGTAATGTCAGGTCTTTGCTTTGTGTCTTTGCATTCTGTACGCTTGGATGTTTTGGGACAGCTTTGCAAGAAGCTTCACATCTCACATAAGCGAACAGCTAAAGGAAAGCGTGCAATGAGCAGTCACTACAGGTAGAGCAGTGTGCTCGGATGGTGAGAACACGTCTGTGTCTGCAGGGTGGCCCGGTAGGATCGGGAGCAGGGCGCGGGGTGCGCTCCCGCTGGCTGCCGGGGCAGGCGGGGAGACGCGCTGCCCTGCGGCTCCCTCCGCTCTCCCGCGGTGCGCACCGTGAGGCTCCTGTGTCACCTGTGCACCAGGGAGCTCTCAGAAAGAGCCAGTCAGCTTCTGGTAACCGATAAGGGAAATTCTGTCGTGCCTCTTCTTCAACAGTTACAGGAAAGGCTTCTTGCTTTGAGTATAGTCAACAGTTTCCTGTCACCTGTCATGTGCAAGTAACATGCGGTGTCCCCTGCCAAGATGAGCAAAGACCTCCACTGCAGGAGCTTCCCTGGTCCAGTTGCCATTTTGCTCTGCAGATTCTTTAGGTGTGGGAACTCCATCTTTGATTTTATAGCCTTTTGCTAGGTTTAATGGCAAAATTAATGTAAGGTGTATGCACCTGCAGCTCCTGCTGTTTTGGCAAACAGGAAAAGCTGGCAGTTCTAATGTTCTATTTTATGTTAATAATTTTAATTTAATGAAACTTTTTTTCCTCTGTCTTTTGAATCTGTGAAGATCCGAGTATTTGACAGTTCATATGTCAGGAAGCCAGGCTGTCTCTGTAGTTGTGACATACCCAGTATGATATTTTAGAAATAAGAGAAATGTCCCTTAATTTCTTTCAATAGTAATGGCTGGTTCTTGCAAGTGGATGAAAATGCTTGTGACAATGGTGACTTTTTTTGAGCTCGTGTAAAAGTAGTTTTTCATGTGTTGTTAGTCCAGCTCCTTTATGGTTTGATTGAAATGCAACTTCCAGAGCCAAAGTGATGTAAAATATCTGTATACATATCTACCATCATCACTAATGAATGTTCTTTGACATATGTACAGAATAATGGAATTCAATTACAGCTCTTGATTAACTGTAGGAGACATTGTGCACGTGTTTTTGCCCCTTTTCTATATATTTTGTTACTTGATTATTTCAGCGCCATGTACGACAGTAAAGAGATTATAAATTTTTCACCTTTCCAGTTGACCTTTCAAACAAAGACTGGGGAATGCAGACCTTAAATGCAGAGAGGTGTTGTGTGAATAGCATTAGTTTTGATTGTTTGGCTTATTTTTGTTTCCATGTTTCACCTCTTATGCCTCTACTTGGTTGTTCTTCATTCTCGGTATCTTAGGAGTTACAGTTGGGGTTTGGACATTTGTATTTCCTTCTAATTTAAATAAGTCATTTTCATGTATTTTACTAAATTATAATTCAGTGTATTGAACCTTCTGTTTTTAAGGTGAAAAGGAAAACTGTCTGATCAAAAAGCAAAGATGCAGAGCACTTCAAATTACCTCTGGCTGTTGTCTGACATTCTAGGACAGGGAGCGACTGCAAATGTTTTCCGGGGGCGACAGAAGGTTTGTGAGGAATTTTCATATGCAAGTAGTATCATTAAATTAACAAAAAAACTTCAAGATTTAGGCCTAAAGCAAATGAAATGTGTCTGTGTAATTATTCATGCTTCGTTTTTAATTTTTAGTATTTGTCCATTGAATTAGAGTTCTGTAGTTAGATTCTAAGGATTTGTTCTTAATGTTGTAGTATTTTTCCTTGTAAAATATTAGCTGTTAGTAATTCTTCATTACTTTTTATTCAGTTTTATGGAAAAAAAAAAACCTTATTCAAGAATTTGAATAGAAACAAGTGACCTACCAGTTTCTATTACATGATCCTATTATATGTCTTTGTTAAACTGTCTTTTCATTGCTTTTTATTTGTTCTTTTAAAATCTGTTTTGGTGATTTTTATTATTCTTTTACGTGAAATATTGTTATTGTAGTGGATGAAGCTGTTGTTAGTTGTTGTGTGTAAGTCAAAGCTTTTTAAATGTCTTGAGTAATCAGTGCAAAATAGTAATTTTTTTGCCCTGAAAATGATACACTTAAGTGTATGTTGCAACCTGAGTGAGGGCCTAAGAGGACCTTACTTGTGTAGGTCATTTGTT